CCCCCCCCCCCCTGGCTCGTTTAGAGGGGGCTCGTTGGCAGGCGAGGGGGCCGGAACGTGGGGGCTGCGGGGGCTGAGCTGTGGCTGTGCCTGCAGAACCATATTGTTTTTGTTGACCCCCTTTTCCTCTTACAGAGCTAGGTTATTGTTTTTCTTTGAAATAAATATTCATGTGATTTTATTGGTATCTATCTTCATTTTTTACATTTACCAGTAGCTGCCTCATTTCCTACCCTAGGCTTATACTCGAGTCAATATTTTTTCCCAGTTCTTTGGGGTAAAATTAGGTGCCTCGGCTTATATTCGGGTTGGCTTATACTCGAGTATATACGGTAAATGTAAAAAGATATTCAATTAAGCCAGGTGAGGGTGACCATTTTATTGGTATCTATCTTCATTTTTTACATTTACCAGTAGCTGCCTCATTTCCTACCCTAGGCTTATACTCGAGTCAATATTTTTTCCCAGTTCTTTGGGGTAAAATTAGGTGCCTCGGCTTATATTCGGGTTGGCTTATACTCGAGTATATACGGTAAATGTAAAAAGATATTCAATTAAGCCAGGTGAGGGTGACCCATTAATCTTTGTAATGGCATTACAATATTTTGTGTTATTTCCTTTCCTTATGAATTCAGTGAAATCCTTTCTTTTGGATTTCATTCTACCTCTTCCCCTTTTAACATTTATTACTCATTGAGCAAATGTTCTTTTTTTGTGTGTGTGAAGCTGGTCAAAAGGACAGGAAAATTGGGTCTGTCTGTCTTTGCAGCAGCTATGCTAATTACTCCCTTTTCACATTTTTCAAAGTGTTAATAATTCTGTTTTTTAAAATAGGGTTTCAACCATTGGTCCTGGTATTCAAGACCATGCTCCTTTTTTGTAATTCCAAGATCCATTCCTAGTGCTTTTAAGATAGAAACAATATTCACCATTCTCCAGTCCTCTAGGAAAGGATTTATTTTGATGAGATTGCTTAACTTCATTATTAGCTCATCTAGTTCATTCTGAAATTTCTTCCAAACACATGAATCAATTTATCTGCCCCTGTTGCTCTTAGATTTATCACTTTGTTCTAGCACCTCATCTTAAATACATCCACAGAAGTTGAGGAACAGTTTCTGTGGAAAGGAAATTACTTAGCTGCTTTGCAAAGTCTTTATTGTTTACTCTCTGCTAGTCTAGCAGACTTAGCAATGTCTCTCATAGACTTCCTGCTTCTTAGAAACAAATATTTTTGTAATGTTTTGGCTATTTGCTCATCATTTCCCACCTTGCAAACCTGATATCTCTCTTACATTATTCCTCTCATTTCATTTTCTGCTCTATAGACTTAACTATAGACATTGTGTTTCTTTAAAGAAAATGCAGACTATTGTTTGCCAGGCTGAAGCAATTATTCTGAGATATGAGTCTCTCCCTTATTGTTTGGGACAGTTTGGGACAGGCCTGAATTTTTAGAACTAAAAAAACCCTATAATCCTCTTAAGTTAAAAAAAAAAAGAGGAAACCATACCAGAGATCAAAAAGCCGGAGTGAAATTGTGCTAATTTACTTCTCAGTTCAGTTTAAGTTTAAAGAACTCACAAGACATAATAGGGCAGTAGTATTAAATTTAAAATATATAGTGAAGTGGTGTGTTTTTTTTAGTGTGAGAATGTTACTATGACTTTCTGACAAAGTACCTGTTTGTTTGTTTGTTTGTTTGTTTTTTGCTTGACAAATTGGGAATGGCCCTGTGGCCCTGAAAGCTATCAGTTTTAGTTTGTGTGGCCCTCAGTAGGCTTCAAGTTTGACATGCCTGGCATAGACCAATCCTGAACAAAACTGTATGCCCATAGGTCATTTTTTGCTTTATTTTCCATATAATACTATTTGTAATAGTATTCTGTCCGTTTTAGATATGCTCATTTATTTTTACTATTTGAACTTCCACAGGGTAAATCTTCAATAGCTGTCATTCTCTCAAAAGCATCACTTGTTTGTGATGTGTCAACAATTGTCATAACACTGAAGAGTGGTTGTTCGTACAGTAAATCAATGCACTACAGTTCTCCAATGTCAATCTCTGCTGAGAGTTGGCTGCATGGGGACCCAGAAGATTCATATGGTTTCAAACTCTTAAAACAGTTGCCGGTAAGATAGCTAAGTAATCAACAAATGTATATCCAAAGGGAGTCAAGTTCAGCCTCCCATTTGTGCATCCACCTTTGTTGGAGACAATGATTCTACAAGCAAAAGTGAATTATGCTTATTTGCACATATAACTTGAGGAAATGAATAGACAAACTGGTGTCCACCTTTTGTAGGTTCATTTAGTCATGCACAAAAAATGAGTGTAAATTAAGAGATCAGGGATTGGAAGTTGGGTCAAAAAATGGTTAAACTTTGTTATAAACATGCCATCAAGTGGCAGCAGGGCACAGCGGGGCTGGGAAAGAGGGGCAGGGTGGAGCAGAGCAGGCTACCAAGATACTCCAGCTCCTGCAGCCATGCTGAGGGCGGGAAGTAGGCCCAACCATTGCTGCCGCCTTGCAGCATGCTCCCGTAATGTCCCACCTCATGTTGGAGGGAGGGAGTTTCAGCAAGGGGGCAGAGCAGGGGTGAAGTGGAGCATATGTAAGGCTTGGAGAGGTGGAGGGGGTAGAGCAGGTGTGGTAGAGGGCCTGTGGTGGAGAGTTGCCCCAGTTACAGGGCACTGAGGGGGCTTGCTCCAGGTTCTGCAACATCTAGGGATGGCCTTGCTTCTAACATTCCAATAATGCAAATCCTCTCAAGTAGATATTAATTCATTATTTCAAGATTTATTGTTTATTGATACTATTAACCTGACCATTGAATAACTCTTTATTAATATTTGTTGTCTTATACACAATACCAATTTATATGGCTGAATGATTCATGTTCTAACTTGGATTTTTAATCATGTGAAATGTTCTAGAGTAGACTTAAGATATCACAGACTTATCCAATATTAATTGTGTTTGAGATACAAAATATCCAAATTTTTGCACATTATGTTAAATGCCTAAATAAGACAACCAAATCCCTTACTGAGATCAGCACTCAGTATGTCAAATGTGCATGCATATGTCAATTTGAACATTCAAGTATAGCATCTGAAGGTTCCATTTAGATGCCCATGTTAGAAAATTGAGTCCGCTTTGTTTTTAATGCATGTTATTAAACACGTAATCATTTTTATTACATTTCTATGTCCACTTTTGTCCCAAATGGAAAAGTATCTATCTCATTAGCCTCACAAGTATGAACAGGCTTGTTTTGTGCTTTCTGTGATTAAGACCATATATATTCCTTCTGCAAACTTATTCTAAGATTTAGAAACTCTAGCATGATCTTTTGACTACATATAAATGTGTATTTATTTCATATCCATTTGTCTTCTGTTATATTCTATATAGGTAAACTACAGGCCTCCATCTAAACTGGGAATAGCTGTTCCACTCACTGATAACTTTTATAATGCTGACCCCAGCAAACCTAGAATGAGAGATTATTTTTCAGGATCAAAAGTAAGTCTTCTGTAATCATTTCACTGCTGCTGAATGTTCTGGGATCATGAGGGTTTTCAATACTGTTCATTATGTACATTCTGTTCAGTTTTCTATCAGTCACTTTAAATAACCAATGCTACAAAAGATCAAAAAGAGGCAAATTTCAGACTGGACAACTAGTGATATGCCAGGGTCATCTTTTTCATCTTGCTCAGGGTAAAAAATCTTCTTTCCTATATGCTGGATTTACAGCAGAGCCTATTGAGCCTTATAACACCACTGGCTTGCTGCAATGGAAGCTGCAGCAGTAAGTACAACTGTGGATTCTGCATCAACAGAGAGGAAGGACAGTGGAAACTGAATTGCAGTGGAACTGCTAGGGATTTTTTCAATAGGAAATATCAGTTACTCAGAAACGTATTAATTTTTTATTAAACTTTTGCGGGGAAATTTTTTCAGATCTAGGGTGGAAGTTCTGGTGAAAAATGAGGTGTCTGAAGGAAGAGACTCAACACAGAGCAGCCAGGTGATTGGGTCACTCATTTAGGATGTGGGAGTCCCTGGATCAAGTCACTACTCCATGTGCTTTGGAGCAGGGTGTGAACATGGGAGTCCCACATCCAGGGGTAAAAGCAACTTCAGTTTCTTTCAGGTGTTGTCATATCGCAGTTTCCCTTGGGGAGGGCTCAGACTCAGGGCATGAGGTTGTCTGAGAGCGGGGTGCAATACAACAGCATCAGTAAGAAATTTAAATGTGGGGTGAAATATGAGAGTCTCAAGGCAGGGCATTAGGGAGTGTGCCAGTGGGGAGGGCAAAACAGAGGGGAATATGAGGAGGTGCATGTCTAGGGTGCTCTAACTCAATGCCCTTTCCCTTCCGCAGAGCCAGGGACATAAATCTAGTGGGGCAGAGAGTAACACCCTGGGTCTCACCAGAGCCACGTACTTTTCCCTCCAGGCGCTGGGGCCTGTACGCAGAGCAGCTGTGAATGGTCCAAGTGTGCAGCTCCAACCATTCCACTGGAGGCATGTGCTGCCGCCCCCTCCCCAGTCCCCTTTTCAGGGCAAAAAATCCCAGACATTTTTTGCCTTTTAAAAAATCGTTCAGATGGCGATTCAACATGTGAAAACAAAGACTTGTACAGGAAAAACTGGACATATGGTAACCCTACCCACGCCCCAGCACAGACCTTTCTCACCCCGGCCTCACTGCCTGGCTCCGCCGCTGCCTTGCCACGTCTCTCTCTACCCAGCTCTGCCACTGCCTTGCCACGTGCCTACCTGCCTGACTCCCCCTGCTGCCTCTTGCCACCCCAGACAGCTCCTGCGCATGTGCCAATCTGGCCTGGCAGGGGGAGGTGCTGCTGCTAAAGCAGACACAGCTGCCATATCTGCCACCACCTTTTGCTGGGCCCCCTGAGCTGGCTGGCAGCTTCTGTGCAAATGCAGATGCAGCCTGTCTCAGTGCCGCACGGCATGGCTCCTCTAATGGGCAGATGCTGCTGCTGTGGCAGATGTAGCAGGGGTGCTCAGCTGCCACCTCTTGCCGCTCCCTCCCCCCTCGGCCGGCCGGCCGGCAGCTCCTGCAAAGGTGGTTTGTCTCATAGCCACGCGGCTTGCTGCTCAGCGCTGCTGCTGGAGCCCCAGTGATGCAGCAGGCAGGCAGTCAGGGAAGCAGCTCAAGGTGTCATGTGCTGCATGCAAAGGGGCCACGGGCCATGTGTTGAATAGCTCTGCTATATGTTATATCTTGTTGTTTGCTGACAATATCAGCCCGTGCACATTTGGGCGAGCAATCAATGTAGAAGTCAAGACTCTCATCAGATATCTGAAAAGATAACACACAGAAACCTGTTGGAGAACATTATAGCTTGCCTGGCCACTCAGTAATGGATCTCAAAGTCACTGTATTATTTCAGGCCAATTCCACAAGCCAAATACACATGGAAACCTTGGAACTTAACTTCATTTACAGGTTTCATTCCTATCACAAATGTATAAATAAAGACATTGACTGGACAGCCCGCTATATTCCACATACTAATGACATAAAAAACCTAATCAATGGGTACTTAAGAACACTTTACAACTTCTGTATGAGTTTCATGTAGCATGGAGACTCTAAGGGTACGTCTACACTACAGCGCTAGTTCGAACTAACTTAGTTCGAATTAGTTAATTCGAACTAAGCTAGTTCGAACTAACGCATCTAGAACTAAAAACTAGTTCGAACTAGCGTTTTGCTAGTTCGAACTAGTAAGTCCACATTGAGTGGACTCTGAACAGGGCTTAAGGATGGCCGGAAGCAGTGCCGGCAGGGCATAAAAGGAGGACTTAGAGCATGGAGATACTGTCTCAGGCTAGCCGAGGGCTGCGCTTAAAGGGTCCCGACCCCCACCCCGGACACACAGTTCTAAGGGGTGCCCCGCTTGCAAAGAAGTTCTGGCTTGGAGTGCCCTGAGTGCCCACACTGGGCACATCACACCACTCGGCCATCAGCCCGGCTGCACTTGCCGCAGGCTGCCATCTGGGGAGAGGGAGTAATTGGGGGGCTGCAGGAGAGCTTCCACCCCCAGAAGCCCGCAGAGCCAGCCCAGTCCTCCCCATCGGGGGCTCGTACCCCATTCCTCCCTCACCTCCTTCCACTTACCCTTCCCTAGCCCCCCTTCTTATTGATGTACAAAATAAAGATAACGTTTCTTCCAACATTGACTCTGTCTTTATTGAAAAAAACTGGGGGAGACTGGGAAAAGGAGGTGGGAGAGGGGAAGAGAAAGGCTGGGAGAGGGGAGGGCAACTAACATGATCAGGGGTTGGGAACAGGTCCCAGATGAAGAGAGGCTACAGAGACTGGGACTGTTCAGCTTAGAAAAGAGGAGACGGAGGGGGGACAGGATAGAGGTCTCTAAAAGCAGGGGTTGGGTGGAGAGGGTGCATTCAGAAAAGTTCTTCATGAGTTCCCATAAAGAAGGACTAGAGGACACCAAAGGAAAGGAATGGGTAGCAGGCTTGAAACTAGTAAGAGAAAGTTGTTCTTGACAAAGCAAATAGTTAACCTGTGGAACTCCTTGCTGCAGGAGGCTGTGAAGGCTACAACTAGAACAGAGTTCCCTCTCTGTAGCTGCAGAGAACTCTCTCCCAGAGACAAAAGGGAGAAAAGAAAACCCAAATTCCTTTGTCCCAGTTTGAAAATCCCACCTACATTCCTACTGGTCACTCCACCTGACTAGGTGTAGTTAACCCCTTAATCCCCAGGCTGCTGGCTAACCCTCATAATCATGACAGTGGCACAAGTAATTAAGTCATTTTTTAAATGTTTCCAAAACAAAATGTTACAGCATTCCAATTTTATGAAAATTTTTTACTTTGTCCAATTTCCCCAAACTCAAAAATAGTCACAAAATTGAAATTCATCATCCAGCCCTGTTCTAGTTTATATAATAGCATGGAAGTCAAATGATAAGGTCAAGATACAATTAAATAGTCTTATACGGTTGAATTAAATATTTTTGGAATATTGCATTTCAGGAAAATTATTTTGATTTTTCATTCTCATTTGGGATTGAACCATGTTTTGCAGACTCAGAATTTCCCACAAAATGGAAATTAAGAATTTTGATCTTCTCTATCTCTCAAATTGGTTTCTAGCAAATCACACATTTACAATTTTAAATCTCTCAAATAAGCACAGATAGGTAATTGCATTTGTTTCCTCGTTTCTTTCCTTTTTAAAAAATCTTGTTTTCAGAGGTTAGGTAAGAAAGTGAGGTAAACATTTTATGTCCTTTCTACAGAATTCTGGAGCCTACAAACAGTGTGCTAACAAGTCAACTCGAGCAGAATGCAACTGCAATGAAAATGAAAAACTTTCCTTTTTTGTTGCTTTCTCAGACTGCAAGGAAAAGGTGAGAACTGTAATGAAACAAGCTTGAAAATAATTATTCTTAAGACTGAATTTTGCCTTGAGCTATGTCTAGGCAACCCTCCTGACATAGGTAAGAACTGTACGGATGAAACAGGTGCAGAATCTGACCCTGGAGATATCCTAGCTCACCATTGTAGGTATGTGAGGGTATGTCTACACTACAAAGTTAATTCGAACTAACGTCCGTTAGTTCGAATTAACTTTGATAGGCGCTGCACAAGCGCTCCGCTAGTTCGAACTTAATTCGAACTAGCGGAGCGCTTAGTTCGAACTAGGTAAACCTCATTCTATGAGGACTAAGCCTAGTTCGAACTTACTAGTTCGAATTAAGGGGCTACACACCCCTTAATTCGACTTAGTAAGTTCGAACTAGGCTTAGTCCTCATAGAATGAGGTTTACCTAGTTCGAACTAAGCGCTCCGCTAGTTCGAACTTAATTCGAACTAGCGGAGCGCTTAGTTCGAACTAGGTAAACCTCATTCTATGAGGACTAAGCCTAGTTCGAACTTACTAGTTCGAATTAAGGGGCTACACACCCCTTAATTCGACTTAGTAAGTTCGAACTAGGCTTAGTCCTCATAGAATGAGGTTTACCTAGTTCGAACTAAGCGCTCCGCTAGTTCGAACTTAATTCGAACTAGCGGAGCGCTTAGTTCGAACTAGGTAAACCTCATTCTATGAGGACTAAGCCTAGTTCGAACTTACTAGTTCGAATTAAGGGGCTACACACCCCTTAATTCGACTTAGTAAGTTCGAACTAGGCTTAGTCCTCATAGAATGAGGTTTACCTAGTTCGAACTAAGCGCTCCGCTAGTTCGAACTTAATTCGAACTAGCGGAGCGCTTAGTTCGAACTAGGTAAACCTCATTCTATGAGGACTAAGCCTAGTTCGAACTTACTAGTTCGAATTAAGGGGCTACACACCCCTTAATTCGACTTAGTAAGTTCGAACTAGGCTTAGTCCTCATAGAATGAGGTTTACCTAGTTCGAACTAAGCGCTCCGCTAGTTCGAACTTAATTCGAACTAGCGGAGCGCTTAGTTCGAACTAGGTAAACCTCATTCTATGAGGACTAAGCCTAGTTCGAACTTACTAGTTCGAATTAAGGGGCTACACACCCCTTAATTCGACTTAGTAAGTTCGAACTAGGCTTAGTCCTCATAGAATGAGGTTTACCTAGTTCGAACTAAGCGCTCCGCTAGTTCGAACTTAATTCGAACTAGCGGAGCGCTTAGTTCGAACTAGGTAAACCTCATTCTATGAGGACTAAGCCTAGTTCGAACTTACTAGTTCGAATTAAGGGGCTACACACCCCTTAATTCGACTTAGTAAGTTCGAACTAGGCTTAGTCCTCATAGAATGAGGTTTACCTAGTTCGAACTAAGCGCTCCGCTAGTTCGAACTTAATTCGAACTAGCGGAGCGCTTAGTTCGAACTAGGTAAACCTCATTCTATGAGGACTAAGCCTAGTTCGAACTTACTAGTTCGAATTAAGGGGCTACACACCCCTTAATTCGACTTAGTAAGTTCGAACTAGGCTTAGTCCTCATAGAATGAGGTTTACCTAGTTCGAACTAAGCGCTCCGCTAGTTCGAACTTAATTCGAACTAGCGGAGCGCTTAGTTCGAACTAGGTAAACCTCATTCTATGAGGACTAAGCCTAGTTCGAACTTACTAGTTCGAATTAAGGGGCTACACACCCCTTAATTCGACTTAGTAAGTTCGAACTAGGCTTAGTCCTCATAGAATGAGGTTTACCTAGTTCGAACTAAGCGCTCCGCTAGTTCGAACTTAATTCGAACTAGCGGAGCGCTTGTGCAGCGCCTATCAAAGTTAATTCGAACTAACGTCCGTTAGTTCGAATTAACTTTGTAGTGTAGACATACCCTAAGTGTGGAAGAGTTGACTCGCTGTTAACATTCCCCCACCTAGCTGGTCATGATGTCCTAGTGAGCCCCTATCAACAGTCATTCCAATTCCAGGGTGGTCTCATCTCACAATTCATCCTCTGGCTAAGTCACATTATAATTGCACCCCCTCTGGCATAACAAATGTACATGTCCAAAACTATTGTAATGCAAATTGTCCTTTTGCCCCTTCTTGGGTTATTATTTAGCTCTCTCTACAGGTTCCATCTTCTGCCCACCCTAGGCTAAATAGTGCTTGTGCTCCCCTTTCTCAGGGCTGGTTGGGGAAATCAAACCCATCTTTGACTCTGGGTTCCAGTGTAGAGTACTCTGTCTTGTGTAGTTATGTCTTCTTCAAACATGCTGCTTCAAACATGCTGTTATTTCCTTGGGCCACATCCTTCCCAGCAGTCTGTACTTAACACAACCATTCCTCTGTTTACTAGGCCTCCCTTTGCTCTTTTGGACCTTCCAGCTCTCCTCCTTTGTCTGCTTGAACAACACTCCTTCAGGACTCCTTTTTCTGTGCCACGCCACATTTCCTGGGCCCATCATGGGGATTAGTTCCATGCCTGTAGTTTTCTTCCATCTGCCTTTCCCAGAAAGAGTAAACTTCCTTTCTTTTCTTTCCTGGTCTCTCTATGTACAATCCTCCTCTGTAGCTTACACTTCCTCCTTTCATCAAGAAGACCCCTCTTATGCCCAGCGTAGTCTAATAACAAACCAATTCTGAGAGGTCTTAGGTGCATCAGGATGGGCTTAACTGAGGTCTCAGACTCCTGTTAACCCTTGGTTCGCCTGTATGCGATAGACACTCCCACCTTAATGAGACTGAAATGTTTGTGTGAATTAAAGCAATGTAAACACAATCTTTCATTTTAAATCCCACTAATTATGCAACTTAAATTTTAGGCTTTGAGGATGAAGTATCCAGTTACAAAGCTTCCAGTCCAGTTCATGGTTGGCAGTGAGAATGGATATACACCACTGGTATCTCCTTTTTTTGTCACAGTCACAGAAGTTAACCATAGGACAAACTGGGAAGTTGCAGGTATGGATGGAGGATTTGCAGAAAGTTTCCTTTTGATAACAGACTAGGCTAGGAACAAATGTTAAAATTTGTGAGATTACTCTATAAATGACCATTTTTCTGCTGGAAGTTCACTTTTTTTCCTTTCTCACCAATTTTCTTAATGGATCCAGGTGAGGACTCCTGCTTAGATCCTGATGTATGTATCAAATCTGTCTCAGTGGTCAAGTAGGGCAACAGAGGGTTGTGATACTGAGCTTTGTTTGATTTCTCTCAGCTAAGACATTCCCTGTTAAAAAGACAAGGTAAAAGATGCAAAAGGAAAATATAAAACTCCAGCCAGGCTGGTTTGCTGGCTTTTTCTACTAATTTGCCATCAATTTAAATGGGAGCAGAATTCATTCTCCTAATATTTAAAAAGTCTTGTAGGACCTAACTGGACAGTCTCCTTCATAGGCCACTTGAAGACTATGGTAGTTTTTCTTTCATAGTGTGATATAGACCCAAACCAGCTGTCTGCCACTCACTAATGGAGGGAATACATGCTGGAGCTTGAGTGAATGGCTTTCTCTTCCCTGAGTAAAAAAAAAAGGCTAACCCTGAGTCCAGTATAATCAGGCAGGCACCGGGGTCAATTAGAACTTGCTAGAAGCAACAGGCTGATTAGTCATCTGCACCCAGTTAAGCCTACGGTGCTCCTTTAAAAGGGTTCCCCTAGTCAAGGAAGGGAGAAGGAATGGAGAGAAGGACAGGAAGGAAGAAGGGCCGTGGCCCTGATGAGCAGGTACTAAAGGAAAGGTGTTAGGAGGGACTGTTTGGGGAAGGGGCCAAGGGAAAAGCTGCCAGATTGAGAGAGGCAGTAACCCTGCCTGTTGCCTCTGCCTTAGGGTTCCTGGGCCGGAACCTGGAGTAGTGGGTGGGCCAGGGTTCCCACCAACCGTCCCACAACATCTCAACCTCTGCCTTGAAGGGAGATCAGGACTACAGAGGGCATTTTACCCCAAACTTCTGAACTAGCCTGTGATAAGTATGGCTCAGTAGGCTGTAGCTCCTACCTCTAGTAAAGAGAAAGAGGCCATGTGGAGGGCCACAGTGAGCCTCTGAGCTAACGCTATCTACCAGTAGTGCAAGACCCACAGGGAATAGCTGGAGCTTTCTCACAATAGATACTACAAGGTTGGCGCCACTGCAAATTCGGCCTGATAGAAGTCCATGACAAAATTCACATTGATGTCAATGAGACCAGGATTTAATCCATGGATCTTTACATTTAAAAATTATGCTAGCTGTTAAAGGCAGGGACCCTGATTTTATGTGTATTTGTAAAGTGCCTACTCCAATGGGTCCTGTTCCTGATTTGGTTTGCTGAGTACTATTGTATTTAAAAAGAATTAGCATAGTAATATCAGAACATAATTTGTCCAAATTAGTACCCAGAGTGTAATCAACATATATTCTGTACAGGCTAATTTATTACCATTTCTAAAAGAATTAAACTTCTGAGCCAAATCACCATGAAATCATTTGTTTGGGTCATATACTGTAGAAAAATACCTGGAAACCAGCTTGCTGTCTAAAAATGGCTTAAGCAAAGCTGCACATAAATAGTGTTCCTGCAAGAATATTATTCCCTTTCTCTTCTGTTATTTCTCTTATTTTCCTATCTTTGCTAGGATTTGTGGTTCTTATTTATTGGGGATCTGTAAATGTAAACTTCCTCAAGGCAGGAACCATGCTTTCTTCTTTGAGTAGTGTCCCCGTGGGTGCTCCACTACAGGTGTCGGGCTCGTCCCAGCACCGCAGTCCAGAGAGTTTTGCCAGCAGTAGCCCACGGTGGACTGTGCATGCGCAGAAGTCTCCACATGCCGTTTGCACCTTTTCTGTGTCGCGCCGTCCGAAGCGCCAGTTCCTCCTAACTGTCCACGGCTGCAGACAGAGTTGGGATGAGCTCCTGCTCTGCTCTGAGGAGAAATTAGAATTATAGTTACTCGTTCGTCCCAGTTTAGTCCCCTTCCTCATAGTTATAGTTAGTTAAGGTTACTGTTAGTACTTAGTTAGTATAGTTTAAAAAAAAAAGTTTTGTTCCTGTTCATTGGTTGCCGTTACCCATGAGCACATTTTAGTACTTGCCCAACAGACAACCTACACCATGCCCAGCTCTCCGGGCTCAAAAAATGTGCCTCATGTGGCGAAACTGTGCCGGCATCGGACGGCCACTCCTGATGCATCCACTGCTTGGAGGAAGGCCACATTCCCCAAAAGTCTGGCCATTGTTCGAAGCTGACTGTCAGGGCCAGGCGTGACACGGAGATGCTCCTGAAAATGTTACTTTTCAACAAGGTGCTTCAGCCGCCGCCAGTGGGACAACAAGCGGACGCCCCGATGCCGCGTAAGGCCCACAAAACTAAGAGCTCCACTCCATCACAGAGTGTAAGCGTGGGTGATGCACCGAGCACATCCAGGCTGGCCCCAAAGCATGGCGTGGCGAAACCGGTGAAGGCCCATAGTACATCGGCATCTAGCCTTTCTTATAGGTCGGCACCGGTGTCCCGTCCAGCACCGCGTCCTGAGTCGGCACCAGCAGCAGCACTGGCACCGAGAATTCATTCAGCACTGCCACCTGCCACGGCACCATCACGGCACTGAGACCTGAGCCGGCACCAAAAGCAGCATAGGGTGTCGCCCCTGCCTTACCAACGGCACCAAGGGCAGAGCCGGCACCGAGATCGGCACAGAGAAAGGCAGCACTGGAGTCCGCACCATGCGGCTCGGCACCGTGCGGCTCGGCACCAAGCACTGTGCGTGACAAGCCAGCACCGAGAGATTCACAGAACAATTCAGCACCGGAGCTAGAACCAGTACCGTCTGCAGAACCGGCGCAGCTTGCGCCATTGGAAGTGGGCACTTCACCACCTTCACCAGCCTCGCTGCCCAGATGACCATCCCTGGGCCAAGAGCAATCCAAGTCTGGATCTGTCATCTCAGTCCCCAGTAGTCCAGTCCCCGTGTCTCCACCGGCTACCACAATACCTACCAAAGCCCAGAGGAAAACCCAGCATGTGAGCACAACTTCGGCCAGCCCATTCAGGGCGGTGTTTTTGCCTGAGCCTTCGACCTCATCGCACCGATGGTAGACACTGATCGCCCTCTAGGCATTATTGGAGGTCCCCAAGATGATCCATTACATCTCCTTGTTATCACCATTCGTACTATTCCACATCCCTGTCTCACTATTCGCTGTGATTGCGTTCACCGATCTCTCCGGCTCATTCCATGAGGAGTAACAGTTAATTCGAACTAAGGAGTTAGTTCGAATTAACGTTTAACTGTTGCATCTAGCCGTGGGCAGTTAGTTCGGACTAAGGGGGATTTTAAAATGGTGGCGCACGGGAACATGCAAATGAAGCCCAGGATATTTAAATCCCGGGCTTCATTTGCAACTCCGCTTGCCCTCATTTGCCTACCTAGCTCAAACTAACTAGTGTAGACATACCCCCAGAGACACGTTCGAGGCCCTGGGGCTCATCATCAATATACCAAAGTCTTCTCTGATTCTGTCCCAGTCCCTAGAGTTCATTGGAGTGAGGCTGGACTCCAGGACTGCCACTGCATACCTACCTCTCGACAGATCCCAGGCCATACAGGACTTAGCAAATACCTTGCTTACCGCTCTGACAGTTTCCATCCTCACATGTCTGAAACTGTTGGGGCACATGGTGACCGCAACGTACGTAGTTCCTTCAGCATTGGCTCCTCATAATCTATATGCCAGGTACCAATGATACTTGCAAATGTGTGGTAGTCCCCAGTCGTGTCAGGGACTCCCTAGCTTGGTGGCTCGACCCAAGCAATACATTGGCAGGTGTCCCCTTTCATGCTCAGACCCTGTCTCTTTAGATGACCACAGATGAATCTCTATTGGGCTGGGGGGCACATATGCACCATCATCAGGTTCAGGGACTATAGTCGTATCACGAATCCCTCCTCCATATAAACTTTCTGGAGCTACGGGCAGTCTTCAATGCCTGCAGGCATTTCCTTCACGATGTGCAGAGGACCACAGTACAAATTCTTACCGAAAACATCTGCACGGTTTACTATATCAACCGGCAGGACGGTGCCAGATCCAGATCCCTATGTGCAAAGTCCATACGCCTTTGGAATTGGGCAATCCAACACCAAATTACACTCACAGCCACGTACCTTCCGAACAAGAGCAATGACATTGCCGATGCTTTGAGCAGAACCTTCCATTTGCAACATAAATGGGAGCTGTTCGACAAAGTAGTCCGCAGCCTATTCAACTCCTAGGGCTACCCGGACATGGACCTTTTCGCGACTTGACACAACAAAAAGTGCCGCCTTTACTGCTCGAGGGCAGGCACAGGCAGCGAGTCGCAGGGAGATGCCTTCCTCCTCGACTGGGGAGCACGACACCTACTATGCGCCTTCCCACTGATCCCACTGGTACCACGGGTGATAGCAAAGATTCTCATGGATGCTGCAATGGTGATATTGGTAGCACCCTTTTGGCCACAACAAACTTGGTTGCCTCAACTCATGCGGATGTCCTTAACCCAACCTCAGCGACTACCACAGTTGCGCAATTTACTTTCACAACAACACGGCACTCTCCTTCACCCAAGCATCAACCACCTACATCTCACAGCTTGGTTCCTAACTGGCTCCAAGGACCAGAGTTAGCCTGCTCACAAGCAGTCAGGAAGATACTGGTACACAGTAGACGTCAAACTACCCAGAAGACCTACCGCTATAAATGGCGTTGCTTCCAAGCCTAGTGCCACCACTGAACGTGGATCCGCTACAAGTACCTATCCGTCGCATTCTAGATTACCTTCTTTACCTAAAATCACAAAATTTGTCAAATTCTTCGCTTAGGGTGCACTTGGCAGCAATCTCTGCCTTTCGTCCTCCAAAAGATGGCGCCTCAGTATTCGTGCATCCACTAATCAAAAGATTCATGAAAGGAATCACTAATTTCTACCCTCTGCACAAGCCCGTCCCGGAGCCGTGGGACCTAGGCCTTGTACTGGACACCCTAACCCATTCCCCCTTCGAACCGTTAGCAACTTGCTTAGGGTGCACTTGGCAGCAATCTCTGCCTTTCGTCCTCCAAAAGATGGCGCCTCAGTATTCGTGCATCCACTAATCAAAAGATTCATGAAAGGAATCACTAATTTCTACCCTCTGCACAAGCCCGTCCCGGAGCCGTGGGACCTAGGCCTTGTACTGGACACCCTAACCCATTCCCCCTTCGAACCGTTAGCAACTTGC